ATGGGCTTTTCCAGCTGCCACCCACTGCAGATGCTGCTTGCTTTGCCCACAGTGCTCAGTGTTAGTATTTGGCAGCTACCAAAGCACAAGTCCTGGGTCATGGCAGCCTTCTCTCTGTTGATAGATCAAAAAAAATTTTTTTTAATCCTCACCCGAGGATATTTTCCCACTGATTTTTAGAGATAGTGGAAGATAGAGGGAAAGACAGAAATATTGGTTTGTGAAAAGCACATCGATTGGTTGCCTCCTGCAGGAGCCCTGAGCAGGGCCCAGGCTGGGGAGGAGCCTGCAACTAAGGAACGTGCCTTTGACTGGAATCAAACCTGGGACCCTTCAGTCCGAAGGCCGATGCTCTATCTACTGAGCCAAACTGGCCAGGGCAAATCCAAATTCTTTTAAAATGTTGTAGAGGGCACTGTAACAGCCAGTCAAGTCCCAGGACCCTGGAGAGATCTCAACTCCTAATTTAAAGATCTATTTTCTTTTTTTATTCCCCCTTTGTACTACATAGTATATAATTCTCCTTCCTTTCATTTAAAAAAATCATTTTTAAAAAACAATTACAGTTGACATACAATATTATATTAGTTTTAGGTGTACACCCTAGTGATTAGACATGATATAACTAAGTGATCATCCTGAGAAATCTCATACCTGACACCATACATAGTTATTAGAATATACTTCCTATGCTGTTCTTTTTTTAAAAGAGAATATTTCCGAGCTTTTAAAAATTTTATATATATATATGTATTTATTGATTTCAGAGAGGAAGGGACAGGGAGAGATAGAACATCAATGATGAGAATCATCGATTGGCTGCCTCCTGCATGTCCCCCACTGGGGATCAAGCCCACAACCTCTGCATGTGCCCTTGACTGGAATTGAACCCAGTCTGCAGGCCATCACTCTATCCACTGAGCCAAACCAGCTAGGACCCTATGCTGTTCTTTACATCCACAAGACTATTCTGTAACAACCAATTTGTAGTTCTTAATCCCTTCACACCTTTTGCACCCATCCCCTTAAACCCCCTTCCATCTAGCACCCATCAAAATGTTCTCTGTATCTATGAGTCTATTTCTGTTCTACTTGTTTATTTTGTTTTTTAGATTCAGTTGTTGACAGATATGTATTTATTGCCATTTTATTCATTATTTCTTCTTTGATGGTGATGAACTTTTTTTCTTGTCTGGGGAACTCCTTATACATCTTTCAATTCTAAACAATAGCTTTGCTGGGTAGAGTAATCTTGGTTGTAGGTCCTTACTTTTCATCACTTTGAATATTTCTTGCCACTTCCATCTGTCCTGCAAAGTTTCTGTTGAGAAATCAGCTAACAGTTTTATAGGGGCTTCCTTGTAGATAATGAACTGCTTTTCTCTTGCTGCTTTTAAGATTCTTCCTTTAACTTTTTGCATTTTAATTATGATGTGTCTTTGTGTGGGCCTCTTTCGGTTCATCTTGTTTGGGACTCTCTGTGCTTCCTGGACTTGTATGTTTATGTCCTTCACCAGGTTAGGAAAGTTTTCTGTCATTATTTTTTCAAATAGGTTTTCAATTTCTTGCTTTCTTCTCCTGCTGGTATCCCCATGATGCAAATGTTGGTATACTTGAAGTTGTCCCAAAGGCCCCTTACACCATCTTTATTTTTTGGATTTTTTTTCTTTTTGCTGTGCTGATTGGGTGTTTTATCTTCCTTATATTCCAAATCACTGCTTTGATTCTCAGCATCCTCTATTCTACCCTTGATTCCCTGTAAATTATTCATCATTTCAGTTATATGTATCCTTCATTTCTGACTGGTTTCTATGTCTTTTTTCATGCTGTTGAAGTTCTTATAAGTTCTTGAGCATCCTTATAACCATTGTTTTGAACTCTGTATCTGGCAGTTTGTTTGACTCCATTTCATTTAGTTCTTTTCTGGAGATTTCTCCTGTTATGTCATTTGGGACCTGTTTTTTTTGTCTCTGCATTTTGGCTGTACCCCTACGTTTGTTTATATGTTCTCTGTATCTATGATATACTAATTACTAATGTTGAAGGTACACATATTACATGAAGCAGTAATTCTACTCCTAGGTGTATCCCAATTTATATAAAAGTTAAAAGAAAGTAAAATTATAGAATTAGAAGTGAATTAATTAATAAAGAGAAAGGATTAATAATTGGGAGGAAGCATGATGGGAACTTTTGGAGGTGTTAGCCATGTTCTGTTTCTTGACCTGGGTGATGATCAGATGAGTGTTCATTTGTAATGATTAATTGAGCTATAAAGCAATTTTGTGCACTCTTCTGCTTGTCTGTTATAGATCAAAACAAAAATAAATGTAGAAAGAGTCTAAATGATGTAAACATCCTTTTTAAGTTTATCAATACAAAATGTGGCCAAGTAATTAGGTCAGATGGAGCTACAAGTCTCCATCTCAAAGGTGAATGGGAAACGGGGTGAAGGGGGAAGCTGCCTCCTGGGATATAAGAAAAGTAAACTGAAGAAATTTTCACCTGATTTCTTTCTGCATGTTTTAAAGCTTGTCCAACTTGCCTTAATGCCTAGGTATTCCAGAGAGTTAGTCTCCTGGGTATTGCAGCTTTCATTTAGTAACATATAGCTGAATTATAATGCTTATCTTCTTACCTGGCTGTTCCAACTTTCTACATTTATCTCAACATCCTAATTTACCTATAAAACATCATCTACTTTATTATGAAAAATAATTTTACAAAATAATAGTGAATATTATACTCAACCATATACCTCATTCCAAATTCTCTTAGGGTGTTTATTGATGATATTTATGATAAATATTTAGATGGTTGTGATCAGTATCCATATAATACTCCTTTTCACTTAACCTTATTTTCCTACACATATTTTTCACTTTGACTGAGTTCAACTATTTTTCATAGTAGGTAGCTACAAGGTATTCTGTCTTAATTATCTAGTTGAGCCTTTTTGTTTTTTTACTTAACTGATTCTTATGTTCAGAGGAAGCCCAATTCCTCTGTATCCATTTCTAATGGGTCAATGTAGACTATTTGTTTCACTTCTGCTTCTTCCTCAAAGTTGCAATCCCACTATTTTCACCAGCTGCATCAAAACAGGGCTCATGAAGTGACAGGTTAGAATGTGTGGATCCTTCCAAGTAATTTCTTATCAACGTACACACTGATTCTTTATGTTTCATCTTATACTAGAGGCCCGGTGCATGAAATTCGTGCAGGGGGGTGTTCCCTCAGCCCAGCCTGCACCCTCTCCAATCCGGGACCCCTCAGGGGATGTCCAACTGCTGGTTTAGGCCTGATCCTGGGCAGTCGGATATCCCTCTCATAATCCTGGACCGCTGGCTCCTAATCACTCGCCTGCCTGCCTGCCTGGTCACCCCTAACTGCCCCCCCCACCAGCCTGGTCGCCCCCAACTGCCCGCCCCTGCTGGCCTGATCTCACCCCCAACAGCGCTTCCTAACTGCTTCTGCCTACCTGATCACCCCTAACTGCCCTCCCCTGCCCTCCTCTGCTGGCCAATTTGGTTCTGATTGGGCCAGCCTGGTTGGCCCTCATGGCCCCCCTGCCGTCCTGGTCGCTCCATGCAGCCTGCTGTTCAGTCATTTGGTCGTTCCTCACTAACCCCCCTGCCAGCCTGGTCGTAGGCAGCCATCTTGTGAGGGTCAATTTGCATATTACCTCTTTATTATATAGGATTGTTCATTTGTACAGGACCCATTTCAATCTGTCATATTTCAGTTATCTCATGGGTTGTTGCTGAAAGAAAGTGCAGGTATGAAAACCTGTGAACTCCAGGTTATGATTCACAGTGTAAAGCAAACTACAGTCTATACCGCACTCCATTTTCAGTACAAACATCTACAGGAAAGGGTGGGGAGGGGAGAGAGGCAGGACCATCTGTTCTTCAACAAATTCTAACTTCATCCTCTAGTTTAAATCTGAATCTAGTCTCCCTCATGTAGACACTCAAAGAATACTGCCATCTGGCTTCCCTCCTTGTAGTACTTACATTGTCTAGATTAGAGAATCCTTTCTCTGTGGCCCAACAATTTTGCATGACCCGGTCAAACTGATTCAACATTCTCAAACTATGAATATGCAAAATTTTTAGTAACTTTATGATGCAAATAGATGTTACTGAATGTGTTTTGGAGCCTTAATGGATAGTGTCAGATAATGAGGATCTGAGAACGTATCTAAACTTTTTCGAATTGTGTCTTGGGCAAATAATTCCCTTCTAAAAGTATTTCCACAACATGTGGTGTTTTCCTGGAACAAAATCTCTACTTAAGAAAAACAGATTTCCTATTTACTCAACATCTTTGGTGTCTACTGTATGCACGATAATGTTCTCGTCACTAACCGCAAGCCCACCAGAGGGCGCTCGGTCCCTGTCTATCGAGTCTTCATCCGCGACACAGAAAATCGAGGTTAACCTTGACTTTCACACTCCGGAAGTCGTTCACATTTAATCCACAAATATTTACCAAGAACTTTCTGGGCTGTCAGGCGCGGAGCTAGGTTCTCAAGATACAGTGGTGAGTTAGACACGATTCCTAATACCAGACGCTTGGAGCATAGCAAAGACTGAACGTCAACAACCGGCTACAATAAAGTGCGGTAAGAGAAGAGGTTCAAGGTCTGTAAAGTTTGTTGTTTAAATACTGGCGCCAAGCCTTAGAAGCGGGTCACAATTCCTTAAGCGACCGGACTGCTTCCGCTCGGTATCCCGGGCAACGATCTCCATCTCAAGGTATTTTGTGTAAGTCAGAGCCAGAGGCGTCTCCTTGGGTGAATGGCTCTATTAGCCGCCGCCGCAATTTCAATCTCTACCCCCTAACCCCACCCCCCGAGAGGGGTTCCCGCAGTTCTATAGTTCACTTCTGCCCCAGGTTCACACTTGAGCTGCCCTAAGGCCCAAAATAAGGAATTACCCACAAGTACCAACCAAAACTGGCTCCGCCCATTCTTTTTCCGGTTTAAAACCCGCGGGCTTTTCCTGTTTTGAATTCCTAGACTTCCTGTTCTAATTCTCGCGACAGTTTCTAGACAACACGTGAAGTTCGCTTCCCGTCCCTCTTCTGAGTTGGAGACCAGGTAACAGGGCACCTGTCTCCGCGCACCTGATCAGCCCCTTCCGGCCGGGACTGGCCTGTGCGCTGCTGGGGAGCCCCGAAGGGGAAGGGCTGGGACCAGCGCGGGC